GTGTGTGTGTGTGGTGTGTGTGTGTGTGTGTGTGTGTGTGTGTGTGTGTGTGTGTGTGTGTGTGTGTGTGTGTGGTGTCATGATTCGGTTCTGTGTTGCTTCCTGTCAGGCTTTTATTTTGATGCTACGTCCTGTTTTGTTTCACCACAGTTTTGGTCTTTTTACTTTCTTCATCACCCGCATTAGTTTCACCTGCTCATTATAGTTTGCACCGCATCATAAGCAGCCTTCACCCACCAATCCCAGCCAGATTGTTCTAGACGCCACCTCTCACTCTCCAGCATTTTTCGGTTTTGGTACTTTGTGTTTTTGACCCGGCTTGTTCCTCTGACTATTCTGTTCTGCCTTGCCCTCTTGCTTCAGACTGTCACTGTGTATAATTATCGGACTTCCCTTTGGACTACGTATTTGGATTCCTCTGCTGTATGTGTTTGCTGGCTCTGATCTCGGACTGTTTATACCGACCTGTGATTTTTGTGTTTCACCGTGTCTTGTATGGTTTTGTTTAGCGTTAGTTCTCTTATTAAAGAGACGGTTTTGTTTTACATTTCCTTGTCTGGCCTTTTAATTGAGTTCACCCTCAACATTTTTGGCAGCATAACGCGCCGATTCCTGACATGTGGTGTGTGCGTGTGTGTTTGTCTTTATATACTTGTGCGAACCAACCCCTGATGGAACACCTTTCTTGTGTGGACATTTCATTGGTGACTTTCACCAATGCGGTTTCTGTACTATGATGGACTCTAAATCCTGACTGAAAATCCTCAAACAAATCATTCTTGTGCAAGTGGTCACATAACTGCTTTGCAACAGCTTTTTCAAGGATTTTGGAAATAAATGGGAGATTGGATATTGGTCTATAATTAGCTAGGACACCTGGGTCAAGAGTAGGCTTTTTGAGTAGAGGTTTAATTACTGCAAGTTTAAAAGCCTGTGGAACATAACCTGTTAATAGAGGGAGGTTAATCAGATCTAGTATGGATGTGTTGATTAGGGGCAAGCCGTCTTTGAGCAGCCTGGTCGGGATGGGGTCCAGGAGCCATGTTGATGATTTAGATGAAGCAATTGTTGAGGTCAACTCAGAGAGATCTATAGGGGAGAAGTAGTCCAAGTATAAATGAGGTCTTACAGATGTTTCTAAAGCCATTGTAGTAGATGGCACATCTGTGAGAGCTGTGGGAGTGGTCCGACCAATTTTTTTCTCTAATAGTTGTGATTTTATTTGTAAAGAAGCTCATGAAGTCATTGCTGCTGAGATCTAAGGGAATGTTAAGCTCAACAGCACTGTGGCTCTTTGTCAGCCTGGCTACAGTGCTGAAAAGAAACCTGGGGTTGTTCTTATTTTCCTCAATCAGTGATGAATAAAATGCGGTTCTGGCACTATGACGGGCTTTCTTATATGTTATTAAACTATCTTTCCAGGCTATAGAAAACTCTTCTGACTTAGTGGAGCGCCACCTCCTTTCCATTTTTCATGATGCCTGCTTTAGGGAGCGGAGCTGCGAGCTGTACCACGGGGCTAGCCTCCTCTGTTTCACTGCCTTCTTTTTCAGAGGGGCAATGGTATCAAGTGTATTACGCAGGAAGGCTGCAGTACTATCAACAAGATTATCGATTTGTATGGGAGTAAAGTTAAGGTGGCATCCTTCCACTGTGTTGGCAAACGGCACTGAAGTAGATAAAGATTGAATTATTTCCTTAAACTTGGTAACAGCATTGCCAGATAGACATCTGCTGTAGTGGAATTGTTTCCCACATAGAGTATAATCCATTAATGGAAATTCAAAAGTTATTAGAAAATGGTCAGACAGAAGAGGGTTATGGGGAAAAACTATTAAGTGTTCAGTTTCGATGCCATATGTCAGAACAAGATCAAGAGTGTGATTAAAACAGTGAGTGGGTTTATTTACAGTTTAAGAGAAGCCAACTGATAAACCTGATGATATGGCTTCATCTTGTATATTGTGACAGATGCAGCAGTTGCATAATAACTACAACCGCCACTATATTTAAAAGTTTTAAAGCATCTAGAAAATAATGCAATCTTTCACTGATTGGAGCCTTTGTCATTTAGCAGTCTACAGATAAACTTTAAGAACATCCTCAGTTTTATATTTCTGCTTTAGGACGATGAACATTAACTATATGGATGGTATATTGTTAAAATAAGCAGCAGCCTCAGCTTTATTCATCTATATTTATGCATTAATGCATGTGATTGAACATTTTGAGCTAGCATACAAAATATACTTTGAAAAGTCAGAAAAAATATGGTTTTGTGCAACCTGTTAGAATATGCAACCATTTTTGCAGCTGCAATGCCTTGTGGGAGACCCTTGGCTCATGCATTGAGTGGAAGAGCAGAGTGTGTGCAAGTAGGAAGTGGGTTGACAGGCAGGTAGGCCATTCAATGGTTTTGCTTGGGACGAATAAAGTTATTGGTCAGGCATTTTTGCGCCCTGCTGCTGCCACAGATGATGGATTTTTTCATGTTGTCAGTGCATTTAATGTATTTCATTACCATCAGGATGAAAAGAGAAATGAAAGAAATGTAACAAAAACTGCGTCTGGAAGGAGTCACCCACCCTGCCTTAATCTTTGACTGTGTCTCTGACTGTCCTATTCAAATCCCAGAAGAAGAAGCCGATCATTATCACCGAAGGAGCATAACTTCCAATCTGCAACTTACACATGATTAGAATAAGTCTGCAGTGTTTTGCCCTTGGGTGATGTCTGCAGCCTTGCATGGAAAGAGATAACCCGAGCTCCACTTAGAGCTTAGAGTCCAATTTAACAGCTTGAAACTATGAATAAATCTATCACTCCATAATTGAATTCTTCAAACAGGCCAGATTTTCAAGGTTAGGGTCAAATGCAAGTGCATTTTCCAGGCTGAACAATAAAAAGTCATTTTTATTGATCTTAAGGAGAAAATATGTCAGTTTTTTGTTTTTAATTTAAAGGACAATTAACTCTCTTTCTGGTCTGATTCATACTCATTTAGAGTCCATGTGTATTAAACTATAAATGCATAATTATTATTTTTCCAAACTAAATGAACAATTACCTTAATATGTTGCTGCACATGTAACTGTAAATACTAAAAAAAATAAGAGATGTAGAGATGTACTCATGCTCACAGCTATATCTCCAGTAGCCTGTTAGCCAAAACAAGGCTCGCATCAATACTCTTCTTATTCTGCCTTTCAGAGGCGCCTAGAATGATAAATCTCATTAATTGTTTGGAGGGTTAGTTAGTGTTTATTCAGCATGGTTTCCCTAATTATTTCTCCGGACGTGTTTTGTCTTGTGCATAATTCGCTGTTCCTCGGGGACAGTGTAGTGAGTGGGTGTGCTGAGAGAGCCGGCTAATGGGAGGGAGATGGCGCTGAATACCAATGCACAGACCAGTCAGTCCTTGCAGGAACCAGACATTATGTTGGCATTTGGCGTGTGGAGTGTTTTTGGTGGTGGTGGGGGTTGGTGCATGGTTGCCCATCACATACTGCATATGTGACTGTCTCTGTGTATGTGTTGGCTTTTGTTTGCTGTCTGTCCACACTCACAACCCGTCTGGATCGAAACTCTGTCCTTCCTGTGCTAAAATAAACCCACCTTGGGAAGCTGAGGACCTTGCAGAGAGCACCGACTGTAACACCTTTTTGATTTTTCACTGATTTGTAAGCACCATGGATGCAGTCAGTGAATTTGTGCAGTGTCACTTAATATACTGAAAACTGAAAATCTGAGTGATAAAGGAACATGAACATCGCACCAAGTCCCAAATACCACAGCATTTATAGCCAAAGACAATTTACATTGCCCCTCCATATAGAAGGTCTTTTAAGCAAATACATGCAGTTTAACATAAACACAAATAGTAAAAACAGCAGTGAAACTTTACAACCCATGGCTATATCCTTGATCCCTCTTCAAAACCTATCTCGCCTTGAATTGATCCATTTCATCCATTTCAATTGCCTGACTTACTAAAACCCTGACCAAGTATCTTAAAATTCTAATCATGTAACCGTTTAGTTTTACATGGAATTTAATAAAAATATAACCTTCTATTTATTTGAGGAAACTGACCTGTTGAGACTTCTGGAGCTTTTGGTCATATCGCATGATCAGATGGAGTTGATGTGTGGAGTTCTTACTACCTTCTTTCTGAGCCCTTCAGACAATAAGGACCTCATATGTTAGCCAGGATCTACAATCCCATGCCAAGTAGACTGCCTGTTTGTTCTGATGAAGATTATGTTATAATGAAAATGGTCAAGATTAGGACTGAACTTTGAGCCTCAGACTTGGCACAGTTATAGTAATTTCTTATAATGCGACATTTGTAGTTATTACAATATTTTTACACTATGATAATTTATTAATTTCTGTCCTAATCCATTTCTCTGTCTGTCTCCCTTTTACTTTCAGCTCATAGTGGAGAAGACCACAGACTTCCCCTCTGCTGAGTTTTCTCTGGTGGAGGATGTGGCTCTGCACTTCACCTGTTTAATGGACAGGCTGAATGAGCAGCGCCTCTTCCAGCCTGATCTGTGTGACGTTGACATCGTTTTGGTACATCAGCATAGCACTTTCCCAGCACACAAAGGCGTGCTGGCAGCCTACAGCCCTTTCTTCCACTCCCTTTTTGCCCAAAGCAAACAGCTGCGGCGGGTGGACCTGTCACTGGACACAGGGCCTTCAGCAAATCCTCAACTTCATTTACACCTCCAAACTGCTGGTGAGCAGCCGCACTGTCCGTGACGTGCTCAACGCAGCTACCCTGCTTCAAATGAGCGACATCGCTGCCTCCTGTCATGACCTGATCAGCAGCCACTCGCTGAGAACCACCTGCGCAGATATGGCCAGCCCTGAAACACTTGGCAACAGTGACCCAACTGCTGCAGTGATGCCCCCCAGCCAGCTGTACCGGGAGATCAAACAGGAGTCGGAGCTAGGCAGGGGGTACACACGGGAGAGCAGCAGCCCATTTTCAGTTAGAGTGGAGGAGGCAGGCAAGACGAGCTGCCAGCAGAAGCAGTACTATCAGAAAGAGGAGGGGTCAGGGGCCAGGGCCAGCACAAATTCTTTGTGCAAAGTAGAAGGCAATGGAGAGGAGTCAAAGACTGCAGATGGGCACTCCTCCTTCAACAGAGATCAGATCATTGTTGAAGTCAATCTCAACAACCAGACCCTTAATGTGTCAAAGGGATCAGAGGGCAAATCAGTAACCACCACAGAGACAGCCACCATTTTTGGTCATTGTTGTGACAGTGAAAGAGATTCAGAGGATGATGAAGAAAATGAGACGAAGCATAATGATGCAGTTGCAGAAGATGATGAAGACATGAAGACGGGAGACTTATTGGGGCAGAGCAGTGAGGAGGAAGATGACGAGGATGAAGAGGAGGAGGAGAACACCCTAAACATTCCAGGTCTGGAGCAGACGGCCATGATGGATCGACCTCGACGGTGCACCAGAGCCTTAGCCATGGTAGGTACCGCAACCTCCATGCGACAGACGCTGGCAGAAGCCACGCTGGCCAATCAGCGGCTGGGGGGGGCGAAAGCCCCGGGGGGTCAGAAAGTGAGGCTAGAAGAGAAGCAACATTTCCCCTGTAAGAAATGCCCTCGTGTCTTTAATAATTGCTGGTATCTGGAAAAACACATGACTGTCACTCACAACCGCATGCAGATCTGCAGTAACTGTGGGAAACGTTTCCTGCTGGAAAGCGAGCTGCTGCTGCACCACCAGACCGACTGTGAGAAGAGTATCCAGGTACGATTCAGTCATAGTGTTAAGAAGCCCAACCCCACATACACACACACTATACCCAACTTGATTCCCCCTAATTATTTAAGTTATTTCTTTTTGCAGCATTTAAAACAGAAAAATCAGTTCCTTTCAATGTAAGCAGTCGGTGGATTTGATTATGGGGGAGAGGTAAATCAGAGCAATTTCCCGCATGAAGTTTGGTGGAATGACACCCAGGTTTGTGCCATTAACCTGTGCTCACCTGGTTTACACGCGGTTATGAGACAGGGGTCAATCCGTTGAATGAACTGTGTAAAGTTATTGTCCCTTTAGTGACTTCAGCTAATGAGATTGCTAATTGTCATTTATCATCAGCCATTTAACAAGTTTGTTAGCTGGGATTGCTTTTCCTGGGAAGTACATATCTGTAAATAAGTCATTATTGTCCATTTCGAATAGAGTTGCTTTTGTTGTTGTTGTTATATAAATGCCTAAAAATGTACATAGTGCCAGTGCTACTTTTATTTTGCCCTCTCCTGTTTATTTTTAAAAGTGTGTAACATGTGGAAAGGTCTTCAAGAAGCTGTGGTCGCTACATGAGCATAACAAGATCGTCCATGGCTACGCTGAGAAGAAGTTCTCTTGTGAGATCTGTGAGAAGAAGTTTTACACCATGGCTCATGTCAGGAAGCACATGGTTGGTGAGTGGCAGTAAAATCAGTGCTCCTGCTTGGTCACTTTCTTCCCATGGGTTGTTTTAGGCTTCTTCTTCAGCATCCCACTGATTGCTACTTTGAATTTGTTGCTTTCCTTTTCCCCATTTTGAGGAGTTATTTCCCAGAGAGAAGTGTTTATGCATTTCTTGTCACTGAGCTCTATTTCAGTAAAGCGGTGACTTTAGAGTTCATTGTGGAAATGTTAGAGGAAATAGCATATGTACTACATGAAGCACATAAATTGTCCTTAGTATCAGTTTAACTAGCCAAAGAAAAAGCGTCTCAATGTTGTTCTATTGTGTTATTTCAGGGAAGTAGTTTGGTCACTTGTCATTTGTATTGAATACCACTAACTAATCTTCTACTGTGTGTGTAGCCCATACAAAGGACATGCCTTTCACCTGTGAGACCTGCGGGAAGTCATTCAAGCGCAGCATGTCCCTGAAGGTTCACTCTCTGCAGCACTCAGGAGAGAAACCCTTCAAGTGTGAGGTTTGAGCTCCTTTTACTCACTGCTGCTGCTCCCCACTTCACTCACATTGAGAGTTTTATTCCAAACTGAAAACCTGTAATTTTTTTTTTACCTATAAATGTCTGGAATATAATTTAGCATACAGGGCTCAAGGCTTACATTTATTTTTAAGAGCAATCATCCATCCATCCATCCATTTTCCTCCGCTTATCCGGGACCGGGTCACGGGGGCAGCAGTCTAAGCAAAGATGCCCAGACTTCCCTCTCTCCAGACACTTCCTCCAGCTCCTCTGGGGGAATGCCCCCCACAGGGCGCTGCGAGGGACACGGTCGAATGCCTTCTCCAGATCCGCGAAGCACATGTGGACTGGTTGGGCAAACTCCCATGAACCCTCCGCCACCCTGAAGAGGGTATAGAGCTGGTCCAGTGTTCCACGGCCAGGACGAAAACCGCATTGTTCCTCCTGAATCCGAGGTTCGACTATCGGTCAAATTCTCCTCTCCAGTACCCTGGCATAGACTTTCCCGGGGAGGCTGAGGAGTGTGATCCCCCTATAGTTGGAACACACCCTC